CAGTAACCTCTGGCTTTTTTATTCAGTCATCAGTTTCCCATAAAAGCACAGAGTCAGCCTGTAGTGGTACACACCTTTAATCACAGAGGCAGAGGCAGGTGGATCTCTGTGAGTTCAAGGCCAGCCTGGCCTATATAGTGAGCTCCAGGCCAGCTGGGGCTACAGGGAGCCCGTGTCTCAAAAAACACCAAAGAGAAAGACCAAAGAAAAGCATGATGAACATAAGTAATTCTGTAATAGCCTATGGAGTTTAATTATGCAGTTAGAATACTACCATTTTATAAAATGAAGGAGGGGACTGAATTTTCATTTCATTTTCTTTCAAATACTTTCTGAATCCTTAGGGAAAATCTACTTTGCTTCCCATTACTGTCAGTGACACTCAGCTCATCGCTGGCTTTCCAAATGTCACCTGACTTCATGAACTACAAGGCTGTTCACTCACATTGCTCTTTATAGAAGATGTGATGGCGTGAATGGAGGAGACCAAATTCACATCACTTTCTTACTGAAACTAAAAGAAAAACATGTTGCTGGCTAAATGGGCACTGGGTCTTCATTTCCTCCAGGGTCTGCTTCACCCTTCATTTTGAAGAGAATGACACACCTCTCATCTGAATAAGAACACTATTGAGAAAATTCAAAGTTCCATACAGTATTAATTAGGATCATAATATTTCACTTTTTTTTTTTTTTTTTTTTTTTTGGTCTTTTTGAGATAGAGTTTCCCTGTATCCCTAATCGGCCTGGAACGTGCTTTGTAGACCAGGCTGGCCTAGATCTCAAAGGTTTACTAGGATACAACGGGTGTGCCACCACACCCAGCCCAGTATTTCACTTTTTTAAAAAATCCTTGTCCAGACATTAACTCAGACAGAAACTCTTATAGAGATGAAAGACAATTATTCCCAGATATTGACATTACTACTGGGGCCGGAGAGATGGCTCAGCAGTTAAGAGCACTGAGTGCTCTTGCAGAAGACCCGAGTTCAAGTCCCAGCACCCACATGGAGGCTACGAACTGTCCTTAAGTCCAGTTCCAAGGAAATCCAAAGCCCTCCTCTGACCTCCATGGTATTGCATGACACGGGTGCACTCACATACATGCAGGCAATACATTCATACACATAAAATAAAAATAATAAATAAAATATTTTGGGCTGGCCGTGGTGGCGCTCGCCTTTAATCCCAGCACTTTGGAGGCAGAGGCAGGTGGATCTTTGTGAGTTGGAGGCCAGCCTGGTCTACATAGTGAGTTCTAAGCCTCCTGGGGCTACAGAGAGACCCTGTCTCAAAAAGACAAAAATAAATAAATAAACAAGTAAAGTATTTTTTAAAAAAACATTACTACTCCCCCAAATTTCTAAATACTAAGTCAGTGTCTCTGTTATTATTCAACAAGTATTATTTACATTTTTCCCTGTACCACTCTATGTAGAAAGAAGTAAGCCAAGGCCTTTTTTCAGAAAAAAAGATAACCTGTTTTGTTACTTAAGAAATATTGTTGTGGGGCTGGAGAAACGGCTCAGTGGTTAAGAGCACTACTCTTGCAGAGGACCCAGTTCTTTTCCCAGCCCCCACATGGCAGCTAACAACCACATGTAACTAGAGTTCCAGATAATCCAACACCCTTTCCTGGTCTCTGTAGGTAGGCACCAGGCATGCACATGGTACATATACATACATGTAGGCAAACACTCATACATATAAAAAAAAATCTCAAGAAAGAAGAAAGGAGTGGAGGGAGGGAGGAAGAAGAAGGGGAAGGGGGAAGAGGAGGGAAATGTTGTTAGGCTGGTGAGAGCTGGGACCCACATGGTGGACAGAGAGAGCCAACTCCCAAAATTTGTCCTCTGACCTCTACTCAAATGCCGTGGTACACATGTGCATCCCACACACATGCCAATATAAATAACTGTAAAAAAAAAAAAAAAAAAAGGGGGGGGGGTTGTTTGTTTGTTTTGGTCTTTTTTGAGACAGGGTCTCCCAGTAGCCCCAGCTGTCCTGGAACTATGTAGACCAGGCTGGCCTTGAACTCACAGAGATCTGCCTACCTCTGCCTCCCTAGTGCTGGGATTAAAGGCATGCGCCACTACACCCAGCATTTTGGGGGGGGGGGGATGAAAGAAATATTGCATAGAAAAGTAAATTAATTGGCTTTGTTTTTGTTATAGTTGTTTTGTTTTGGGGCAAGGTCTTACTATGTTACCCAGGGTAGGATAGAACTTCTGGGCTTAAGAGATTATCCTACCTGAACCCCCAAGTAGCTGGGACTACAGGTGCACACTACTATATTGATCTACTATCCCAAGACAGATATACATTCCAGGGCAGAATAATTTTTTGACATATACTCAGTGTTTAAGTTCTTGTAGTTTAATATTCTCTTACTTGTTCCACATGCTGATATTTCCCTTACCTTCTTTTTTGTTTGTTTGTTTTCAGTTTGGTGCAGTTTTGGGTTTTGAGTTTAAGATTTGGGGTTTTGGATGTGGTTTGGTTTTGGTCTTTTTGAGACATGGTCTCCCTGTAGTCCCAGCTGGGCTGGAACTTGCTATGTAGACCAGGCAGGCCTCAATCTCACAGAGATCCACCTACCAATGTCTCCCATGTACTGGGACTAAAGGTGTGTGCTACTAAGCCCAGTTCCTTACTTGCTTTTAAATCCAGTACAGATATTTATTTTACCTAAAGACAACATGATTATGTATTTCTGTGTAGAATAAAACAAAAGTTGGAAAATTAGTTTCAACCAATGACCTAACTCAGCCGTATTACTGTGCAAACTACAATCCTCCCCAGTATATGCTGCCCGAGCTTGCTGATATAGTTAATCCTTGAAGAAAACAGATTATCAGAAAAACTCAGGTGGCTCCTGCAATGAGTACACATGTCTTCAAGAGCATGTTGCCTCCACCAAAGATGTTTGGATGTCGCATCTCCAAAGCAAAGCCAGCCACCACATCTGCACACATGTTTACATCTGCAATATACTAAGGATAGGAAAGGAATATGGACCTTAGAATGAGACACATCTAATATCAAATATCATCACTGTAAATCAGACATTTAATTACCAAGTGAAGTTCATTTGTACTCAAATATTCCTTCACTACAAGAGGGTTGCTTTTGTTTTGGTTTGTTTGGCAATTTGGGCCAAGAAAAGTCATTCTAAAAGCAGGGAGACACTGGAAGCAAGTGTCAAGGTACCCAAAGTTCTCCTCTCTTCAACATGTATTCCTAGGAAATACCAGAGGTACCTACATAAGGCAGGAGGAGACACAGCAAACATGCCTGATTTTTAAAAAAAAATTTTTTTTAATTTATTATTTTTATATTTTGTGTATATGTGTATTGCCTGCATGTAGGTAAGTGCACCCGTGTCATGCAATGCCCTCGGAGAACAGAAGAAGCCGTCAGATCCCCTGGAACTGGAGTTACAGTTGTTAGCTGCCATGTGGGTGCTGGGATTCAAACCCAGGTCTTCTGCAAGAACAGTCAGTGTTCTTAACCAGTAAGCCATATCTCCAGCCCCACATGCCTGCTTTATAATTAATTACTTGGTAAATTTTTCATTCATGTTTTAGGAAATTCTGTTTGATGTTATACACTATTAAAACAATAAGGCAAATATAAAACTATCATTCCATTGTCATCTTCAATAAAATGTATTTCTATCAAATTTTTATTTACTTATTTTTATTTTATGTGTATGAGTGTTTAGCCTGCATGTATGTAGGGACACAATATGCATGCAATGCCTGCAGAGGCCAGAAGAGGGTGTCAGATCTCCTGGAACTGGAGTTACAGATGGCTACAGGTGGCTGAGTTACAGGTGGTTGTTAGCCACCACTTGGGTGCTGGAAAGCAAACCCAAGTCCCCTGCAAGAACAGCCAGTGCTCTTAACCACTGAGCCATCTCCCCAGCATCTCAAATTTTTTTAATTAAGTGTTTCTTCTGGTTCTCAATACATATCAGGATAAAAAACTTTCTATTATGAGTATAATTTAGCTCAATTTATTCCAGCTTGTTAGGCCTTTTAAAAATAATAATTGCAGCCAGGCATAGTGGCACACACCTTTAATACCAGCACTTGGGAGGCAGAGGCAGGTAGATCCTTGTGAGTTCAAGGCCAGCCTGGTCTACATAGTGAGTTCAGGTCAGCTGGGACTACAAGGAGACCCTGTCTCAAAAAGACAAAAAAAAATAAAATAATAATAATAATAATAATAGTAATAATAATAATTGCCTGGCATAGTGACACACAGCTTAAATTCCAGCACTCAGTAGGCACAGGCAGGCAGATCTCTGTGAATTGGAGGTCAACCTGGTCATATAACAAGTTCAAGGCCAGCCAGGGGGGGGCTACAAAGTAAGACCTTGTTTCAAAACTTTATATAATAATAACAACAAACGGAGTTTATGTTTGTTTCCAATTCAATTTTTTAGAGTGAAAAACAAAAGAAAATATTAAAATACTTTTAAATAATTTCTGATAAAAATAACAGTGACCTATATAGAATAAATAATCTAAGTAACTAATATAAATGAAAGTGATTGTCTTTTTTAAAACTCAGAAGACCAAAATGTGAGCAGTAGATGTAGTTCAGTGGTAGCACACCTGCCTAGCATGTGTAAGGCCCTGGGTTCAATGCCCAATACCACAAAAAACGGGGAGGAGGGGAATTCAACACGCTGGCACCTAATAATATGTGATATTTCCCATCTAAAACAAAAAGAAACAGGCCAGGTGTGGTGATGCAGGCCTTTAATCCCAGCATTTGGAAGGCAGAGGCAGAGGCCAGCCTGATCTACACAGTACGTTCCAGCCCAGATCCCTACATCCCGCTAAATAAAGGTGGAAAGAAAACCTACTCCATAAAATTGTCCTCTGACCTCCACGCCCATATGCACATGTCATATATGCATGTGCACCCACATACACACAGACACAATAAAAAAATTAATAATAATAAAAAAATTTTAATCTGCTACATACCTTGATCAATACGGTCTTCAGCAAGAGCAAAAAGCTGCACGGAGCGCTCCTCAAGCAACTGTTGATGAATATTCACGTATCTCAAAGTCCACCATGGCAAGCTCTACAAAAAAGCACCAGGGAAGCTCAAGGGCACTTAAGAAAAAAGTTTATACTAAGACTAATTTTTAGAATAGTTTTACAGTCAGGGGCTAGAGATGGCTCAGAGGGTAAGAGCACTGACTGCTCTTGCAGAGGACCTGTGTTCAATTCCCAGTACCCACATGGCAGCTACAAACCATCCTTAACTCCAGTTCCAGGGGAATCCAATGCCCTCTTCTGACCTCCACAGCAGTGCACGACACGGGTGCACTCACATCCATGCAAACAATAGACTCATACACATAAAAAAAATAAAAATAATAGCCAGACGTGGTGGCACATGCCTTTAATCCCAGCACTTGGGAGGCAGAGGCAGGCAGATCTTTGTGAGTTCGAGTCCAGCCTGGTCTACATAGTGAGTTCCAGGACAGCTGGGGCTACAAGGAGACCCTGTCTCAAAAAAAACAAAAAAAAATAAATAAAAATAATAAACAATATATTTTAAAAGGATATTTTTACATTCATAAAACATTGCTAAATAAACTTAAATCATTCAGTGCTATGCTTCCAGTACCACCAAAACCTAATTCCACATCTTTCATTAGCCACATGAGCTTTCTGATATCACAACAAACTTACCATTTCCACCTTAAAATGACTGCTGCAAGCATCCTACTCTACCATGGTACTCTACCCTCATTATGACCCAACTGCCAACAGCTTGACTAATACACAGACTGAGCACACAATAGCTTTTTCTTTTACTCTCTGATGCTTGTTCTTAGCTTGGTCAATACATTCGGGTCAGTGCACCTAGGCTTGATTCCCAGCACCTATTTGGTGGCTAACAACCATCCATAACTCCAGTTCCAGGGGATCCAACCCCCCTTTAGACCTCCAAAGGCTTTGAATGACATGGATGCACTTACATAAATGTAGGCAATACACTCATACACAGAAAATAAAAATAATAAAATAAAAAGAAGAGGACAAGGGCTGAGGAGATGCCAAGTGGGTAAGAGCAACTGCTGCACAGGCACAGAGACCTGAGTTTGAATCACTGGCACCACATATAATGGTGAATGTACTTGTAACCCCAGCATCAGGTATGGGACAGGCAGATCCCAGGAGCTTGTTGGTCAGTCAGTCAGTCAGCAGAAACAGGTTTAGATTCAGTGAAAGGCCCTGTTCTCAAGGGAATACAGAAAAGAGCAATACAGAAAGATACCTAATGTCCCACTCTGGCCTCCATACGTGTGGGCACAGGCATCCATGCACAGACCCAACCCCTCCATACACACACACAAATAAAAAAAAAAGAAAGAAAAGAAAAAGAACAAAAAATAATGAGCCAATATGGAAGCAGTGGACATCTATAAACCCAGCACTGGGCAAGTGGCGACAAGGGGACTTGGAGCTCACTGACCAACCTGTCTAGTCAAATCAATGGGATCCAGACTCTGTAAGAGAGCCTGTCTCAAAAAATAGATAATTAAGGTGGACAGCAATTAAGAAGACACCCAATGTTGACCTCTGGCCTACACGGGCACACACACTTGCACACACACACATGCACGCACGTATGCACACATTCATGTGCACCTGTATGCATGCATATATGCATACACCCACACAAACATGCACATACAACATACACATATGCACACATTCATGTACCCACTTGCATGCACCCACATAAACATGCACATACAACACACACGTGCACACATTCATGTGCACCCACATGCGTGTATACACCCAGAAGAACACGCACATACCATAACACATACACACATACCCTCTCTCTCGTTCTCTCTCACATTCTCTCCTCTACTGCTGCAATCTCATCCTCCTCTACAAAAAGCCATAATGAAGGTTTAGTGTTCTGGACATTCTTCTCCAGGTATTCATGGCTACATTAGCATACACTGCAAGTTATAATGGCTATTGTAATCGAATCACTGAAATACCAGCTATGAGCATGCACTGAGCCATCTAAATTACAATTAGCCAGGCATGGTGGCTCATACCTACAATCCCAGATCCCAGCACTCACTCAGTAGACAGAGGCAGGAAGATCACAAGTTCAAGATCAGCTTTGGCTATGTTGTGAGTCCCTGCCTCAAAAAAATGATAATACTATTGAATTATATTAGACAAAGCTGTTAAAAAACTAATTTTTCTGTTTTAGTAGCAATCACTAGTAATGGACCATGCCTAGTTACCAAAAGCATCTTTTCACTTGAATGTAATTTCTCATTTGATTAAGGGGTGCCCTTCTAGCCAAGCCTGATGACACCCGTCTGTATTCTCAGCCAATTGGGAGACTAAAACAGAAGGATCACAATTTCAAAACCCACCTGGGCTACATAGTGAGGTCAAGGCCAGCCTAGACAATCTGGTGAGACCCTATCTTAAAATTAAAAATGACAGGGTTAGATAAGAGCTCAAAGGCAGAACCTTGCCTAACAGTGCCAGGCCCTAAATTTAATCCTCAGTACCATACAGAGGGAGAAGGGTCACCTTCTAAACTGCTAGCCCAGCTGTTACAATGATGAAACCACGAAACCACAATGAATTCTGACTCCAGGACGAAATCCTTTCTAATGATTAATGCTGGTTTTTTCAACCCACTGAAGGCAGTGTAGAATTATCTAAGAGGAAGGAATTTTCAAATAATTTTTAATTTCATTCCCTGAGGAATTTTGCTCTTTTCCTGTCCCAAAGGCCAATGAAGCTGGTCTACATTCCAGTTATCCCTCTGTCTGCTGTCGGCAACAAGGGAGTCAGGCGTGGCTGCTCATTCATTCCCTTCTAGACATGGAAATTGAGTTGTCTCTAGTCAAAAAGATTACCTTCTTCTTTTTTTGGAGGTGGGGGTTCTTTTCAGACAGGGTCTCCCTGTAGCCCCAGCTGGCCTTGAACTCACAGAGATCCACCTGACTCTGCCTCCCAAGTGCTGGGATTAAAGGCTTGCGCCACCATGCCTGGCTACCAGGATATAGAGATCCACCTGCTTCTCCCTCCTGAGTGCTGGGATTAGAGGTGTGCTTGGCCCTTCAAATGGTATTTAACATATCACTGGTTGTTCTTACAGAAGAGCTGGGTTCGAATCCCAGCACCCACATGGCAGCTAACAACTGTTCCAGGGGATCCGACAGCCTCTTCTGTCTTCCGCAGGCATTGCATGACGTGGGTGCACTTACCTACATGCAGGCAATACAGGCACACACACATAAAATAAAAATAACAAAAAATAAAAAAATTTTAAAAAAGTTTTGACCAACAAAACTCAAAAGTGTTTGATTCATTCATGGGTGACAAATAATAATACATTGCCCTTGGCAGCCTCATACCTTGGTGATGCTTTCTTCAGAATAAAAGGAAGAGCCTGTAGGACCATTTAACTCTGATCAACTGGGGGAAAACTTTTTTATCCAAGCTATTATCACTAAAGACAGGCTTCATATCTGCTAAGACACGGTGAAATTCACCCATTAAAACTCATTCTTCAAAAAAACTCTTTCTAAACCAGACGTGGTGGCACCTGCCTTTAATCCTAGCTAGCACTGTGGGGACAGAGGCAGATGAATCTCTATAAGATTGAGGGCAGCCTGGTCTATATAGTGAGTTCCAGGCCAGTGGGAGCTACAGGGAGACCCTGTCTCAAAAAGACAAAAAAAAATTTGATCAAAACACCTTATATGCATGTATGAAATTCTCAATAAAGTTTTTGTAAAAGTTTAAAAAAAAAAATCTTCCTAAGCCATGCGCAATCCCAGCACTTGGGAGTTGAAGGTAGTTCAAGGTCATCCTTAATTTAAACACAGTGAAGAGGAAGTAAGCTTGGATATGTGAGATGTGAGATCAAGTCTCAAAAAAAAATGTTCTAGTACAGTTCACTCAGGTTATCCTGAGAAATGTCAAGAGGCATGTCTTCCCTTCTTAACTCATCTTTCAAATAAAGTCACTACTTAAACTTAAATGCAAGTCCATACATAGGAGAAAACACATGTACATTTTCCATTTAGTAATACTGTCAGGGCTAGAGAGCTGGCTCAGTGGTTAAGAGCACCAAGTGCTCTTGCACAGGACCAAGGTTTAGTTCCCAGCACTCACGTGGCAGTTGACTATTGTCCATAGTTCCAGTTGCAGATGATCTGACACCTTCTTCTGGCCTCCACAGGCATTGCATGTGTGTGGTGCACTTATATACATGTAGGCAAAACACTTGTAACACCAAAAATAAAAATTAATGAATAAGCCAGGTGTGGTGGCACACGCCTTTAATGCCAGCACTAGGGAGGCAGAGGCACTGTGAGTTCAAGGTCAGCTTGATCTGCTATAGGGAGACCCTGTCTCAAAAGACCAAAGAAATTACTAAAATTTTAGAGCCAGAAGCAGTGGAAAATGCCTTTAATCCCAGCACTCAGGAGGCAGAGATAGGCAAATCTCTTGGAAATAGAGGCCAACCTGGTCTACAAAGCCAATTTCAGGCCAGCTCTGGCTAAAGAAAGACCCTATTTCAAACATCAACAAACCTTCTTGAGGCTGGAGAGATGGCTCAGTGGTTAAGAGCACCAGCTGCTCTTGCAGAGGACCCAAGTTCAGTTCCCAGTACCCTCATAGTAGCTAACAACCACCTGTAACTCCAGGTCCAGGGGATCCAACAGGCCACCACAGGCACTGCACCCACATGATGCACTTACACGCAGGTAAAACACACATACACATAAATAAAAATAAATAAATTTTTAAAGAAATACTGTGCCAGGGGCTGGAAAGATGGTTCAGCAGTTAAGAGCACTGGCTGCTCTTGCAGAAGACCCAGGTTTGATTCCAAGCACCCACATGATAGCTAACAACCATCTGTAACTCCTGTTCCAGGGGCTCTGATGTCCTCTTCCAGCCTCTGTGGCATTCACTGCAAGAATGCGGTACACCCATATACAGGTAAAACACTTGTACACATAATATAAAAATAAACTAATTTTAATAAACTTTTAGATGTGCATGGTGCCACAAGCCTTTAAGCCCAGCACTCAGGAAGCAGAGGCAGGCAGATGACTTTGAGATTGAGGCCAGCCTGGGACAGTCTATCGAATTCCAGGCCAGCTGGGGCTACAGGGAGACCTTGTCTTAAAAAAAGAAAAAAAATTTTAAAAGGAAAGAAAAAAAAAAGAAAGAGGGATGGAGGAAGGGGGAGGGGGGAGGGAAGGAAATATTATGCTTGTTTCTGGAAGGGTTGTAGTCTTGTTTCCTTGCTGTTTTAAGATGATGTGGCACTAATTCCCAGGCTGCACTTGAACTCCTTGGCTCAAGCAGTTTTCCTTCCAGAGCCTCCTGAGTACCTGGGACTACAGGCACATGCCACCACACCTAAATAAAACAGCGTACTTTAAATTTTTTTTTCAGGCAACACTTAAAAATTGGGAAATTTCATATATTTAGACTCTACTTCTGACAATATAAGGCCTGCATCAAAGTATGTTGCAGCTGTGGGAGAAGGGTCGACCAAATACAGCTTGCTGCTTGTTTTTGTACAAGAACCAAAAATGGGTTTTACATCATTGAAAAAAAAAAAATCAAGAACTTTGTGCCATATGAAAAGTGTATGAAATTTGAATTCCAGTGGTATACATAAAGCTTTTTTGAACACAGCTCAACCCATTTGCATATCATGACTGCTCTTGCACTATCACACAGACTTCGCACCCCAAGCTGATAACAACTCTAACTCCAGGGACCTTTGTGTCTCTCTAGCAGTTTGTGTCACTCCTAGTGCTTAACTGCTTCTTCTACAACTGTTTCTCCTCACTAAGTTTATATGTGACCTGAAGAAACCACACAGCAGTCAGTAAATGCTCTACTAAATTTAACCCAAAGAAAAGAAACAAGGACTGATGAGAGCCAGAAGAGGAAATTCAGATTCAGCCCATTCTCACTGCTTAGCTGAATAGATGCAAGGCCATGAATGACGCATTAAAAGCTTGAGATTCTAAGAACAAACGTGTCTCCCTCCCTCTCCCTTTCTCTTTCTTGATCTCGCTTTCTCTCTCTCTACTATTAAAGAGATTCCATACAGTCTCATACAAAATTAATCTCAGAAGAGAAGAAAACTTTTTACTTTTTTTTTTTTTGCCTCCCAAATGCTGGGATTAAAGGTGTGCAACACCACACCCAGATTTTTTTTTTTTTTTTGGTCTTTTTGGGACAGGATCTCCCGGTAACCCCAGCGGGCCTGGAACTCACAAAGATCCGCCTGCTTCTGCCTGATTTTTTTTTTTTTAATTTAGTATCTTGGGGCTGGAGAGACGACTCAGCAGTTAAGAGCACTAGCTGCTCTTGCAAAGGACCTGACTTCGATTCCCAGACACCCACATAGCAGGTAACAACCATCCTTAACTCCAGTTCCAGGAGATCCAACACTTTCTTCTGGCCTCCATGGGCTTACATGACATAGGTGCACTTACATACATGCAGGTAATACACTCATACGCATGAAATAAAATAAATAAATTTTTTTTTTTAAGTTTAAAATTCAGGGACTAGAGAGATGGCTCAGCAGTCAAGAACACTGACTGTTCTTGCAGAAAACTTGGGTTCGAATCCCAGCACCTATATGGCAGCTAACAACTATCCGTAACTCCAGTTCCAGGGACTCCAACAGCCTCTTCTGACCTCCTCGGGCATTGCACGACACGGGTGCACTTACCTACATGCAGGCAAAACACACATACACATAAAATTAAAATAAAATATTAAAAAAAAAAAAAAAGAAGAGACATTTAAAAAAAAAAAAAGTTTAAACTTCAGTATCTCAGCCGGGCGTGGTGGTGTACACCTGTAGTCCCAGCACTCAGGAGGCAGAGGCAGGCAAAGCTCTGTGAGTTCAAGGCCAGCCTGAATCTACATAATGAGTTCCAGGACAGCTGGGGCTACAGGGGGACCCTGCTTCAAAAAGACAAAAAAATAAATAAATAAAATAAAATTCAGTATCTCAAAGAAGACTCAGAAAACAAGGCACACCAAGGACCTTGTCAGCATCACACCTACAGTCTGATGCTAACAGGCACAGATGTGAGACCCTCATGTGATACTTGGAGCCCTCCCTTGTCTTACCTGGATAGCTGTCAGTTTATGTCTGACAGACACTAGGATAATGCGTGCTATCAGCAGCAACACGGGCTTCGAGGTCAGGCTGTAGACTGATTCAGCATCTAGAGTAAGCAAGCTCAGAATAGCCGCATCCAGTCTTCTGACCTGAAAAAAATGTGTAAGGTAAGATGATATAACTTAACAAAATATTCATCGTTACATGTCATAACAGATATTTCAACCAATTCAGCTTGAAATAAGAATATTAAATTATTACACAGCAATTTATACTAGACACAACCATAATATTGAAAATGTCAACAGAGAACTACAAATCCATCCTGCCCTGTCAGATAACCACACATACACTCCAAATGCAGAACGGGAACCCAACCAAAATGTCAAATTAAGGAAGAAATAATTGGTTGGGTACATGGTATGCACCAGTAATTCCAAATACCCAAGAGATTGAGGCAGGAACATCCTTCAGTCCAGAAGTTCCAATAGGTAGCCTTAACTGTATGTATGTTGTGAGGTCCAAGGGCCTCCTCTATCCTTGTCAAGTGAAGTATAGTGATTAGAATCTTAAATCCAAAGGTTCAAGGCCAACTTAACCAACATAATAGGACCCAGTGTCAAAAATATTAAAAACTATCTGGATGTGGTGGCGCACACCTTTAATCCCAGCACTTGGAAGGCAGAGGCTGGTGGATTTCTGAGTTCAAGGCTAGTCTGGTCTCCATAGTGAGTTCCAGGCCAGCTGGGGCTACAGGGAGACCCTGTCAGATGCCCCCTTCTGACCTCTGTGCCGCACAGGCAGACATGGGTACACTTATACACACTCAGGCAATACATTCATACACATAAAAAATAAAAATAATAAATATTTTTTAATTAAAAAAATTCTTTAGTGCTAGACGTGGTGGTGCATGCCTTTAATCCCAGCACTTGGGAGGCAGAGGCAGGCTATCTTTGTGAGTTCAAGGCCAGCGCAGAAACACCGAGTTTTAAAATAAGAACTACTGTTTACGGATGCAAAAACTAAAAAAAAAAAAAAAAAAAAAAAAAAAATTTTTAAAACATTTAGGGAAAGCCATCAGAAGCTCTGCTCTCTGACAGTGGTTGTATTCTCTCTCTCTCAAGCTAGGTGGTAAGTACAAAGCAGAAACATACTCTGTGTGTCTGTGTGATATGCATGCACATGATGGACAGGGGTATGATATGTGCATGTATGTCTCTGTAAATTCGTGTGAGTCAGGCACAGCAGCCATGTGAAGGTCAGAGGATCAATGAATAAGCTTTCTTAGTAATTTGCACAAACCACAAAGTCATGTATCTTTCCTATCTATTGTTAACTCCAGTTTACAAACAATGTCTGATAAAAATAGCATAAAAAATTACACATAACATTTTCAAGAAGCATACCTCACTGAGCTGCTCAAACAAAACAGATGGCAAGATATCCTGAGGGTGCAAGTCCCCCGGCGGCCCGGTCCAGTTCTCCTGAACAAAAAACTGCAAGCTGCTGACACCAAGCAGGAAGAGCAGCCGCTGTCTGCAAACGAGAAGGGAAACAAGTATCAGGCACTGCTGCCGAAATTTCAGGCATACTACTTTATTTCAATTTTATGATGAAAAAGCTGTCAAACAATCACTACTGAGACTATCCTAATATATAAAAAAATATATGCAAAAACTATCTCTGAAACTTAAATCATATCTTCACTGTCCAATAGATTAATGAGCCACATGAGGCTTTTAAATTTAAATTAAATGTAAATTTAATTTGAATTTAAAATGTAATCCCCTAGTCACACGGTCCGTATTTCACATGCTCAAACACCAAATATGGTGAGTGGCTGCTGTCCACAGGAGACACAGAATACCCCCACATCAGAAAATTCTCTTTGAGAGTACTGATTTAAGTCTGTTTGAAGTACCTGGACTTTTGCTCATATTTTAGTTAACAGTTCTGAAATTGCCAAAAGATGTAAGAAAAACTGACTTTATATAAACAAAAATTAATCATAAAAAAGCTCCTCTTCCACAATGGTCCCTGAGCCCTGGATGGGTGTAGCTCAATACAGGAGTCCTGTCCAAGGACCAGCATTCTACAGACTCTGAGTCTCTATACTTTGGCCATTTGTGACCATTTGTGTTCCTGGCCCTCTGTTGTATTAGAAGTATATCTCTCCATAATATAAAAATAGCAAAATTCAAAATATATTTACACATTGAAAGGAGTGAAGTTACGGCTAGCATCTACCAGACCTATGCTTTTGGAAGCTTAGCAGTTACTGGCCATGAATGTGTCATTCTCATGTACAAAACTCTTTTTGATCCTATACCATTTTCTTTTATCATTCTGGAAGGTCTTCTAGACCAGAGACTTTACATAGATTATTTGGGATATCAGGAATCCAAATTCCTCAACAACTGCCAAATATCAGCCCCTTACAATGCCAAGGTAGCATTAAAGTATTAAAAGTGAGTTAATTCCAGCACTCAGGAGGCAGAGGCAGGTGGATCTCTGTGAGATGAGGCCAGCCTGGTCTACATATTAAGTTCCAAGCCAGCTGGTGGTAATAGGGAGACCCTGTCTCTTTTTTTTTTTAAAAAAAAAAAAAAAAAAAAAAAAAAAAAAAAAAGTGTGGGGCTGGAGAGATGGCTCACTGATTAAGAGCACTGGCTGTTCCTGTAGAGGACCTGGGTTTGATTCTCAGCACCTTCATGGTGCTGTAACTGAATAAACAACCATCTGTAACTCCAGTTCCTGGGGATCCAATGCCCTCTGACCTCTGCCGGCATTGCATGACATGGGTGCACTTACACACATGCAGGCAATACACTCATACACATAAAACAAAAGCATAAATAAATTTTTTTGGTCTTTTTGAAACAGGGTCTCCCTGTAGTCCCAGCTATTGTGGAATTTACTATATAGACCAGGTTGGCCCTAAACTCACAGAGATCCACCTGCCTCTGCCTCCGGAGTGCTAGGATTAAAATAAATTAAGGAGTTCCACCTTAAAAAAAAAAAAAAAAAACACAATGTGTTTCTCTATAAAGTTTCATATAAAACTGAATACCTTTCAATTTCATCCAAATCTGTGGAGCAATCCAGGAATGTTATTATCTGCTTCTCCAGGTAATTGTCAATCTTTTCTTCAGGCATCATTGTTGAATTTAAAATATCTTGTGTCACTGAATGTAAGAACACAGCCTCATAGTTCCCTTCTAACAGCAATTGTAAGAAAACTCCAGTATCTGTAATATTAAAAATTAGTCCAGTAATCCAAAAGCATTTTAATAGCATAAGTGATAATCTGTCATATGTATATATATATATA